CTTCCCCTTTTTACGGTAATATGGAAATGGTTTTTCTTTTTTAACACTAACCAATTGGAATGGTTTACCAAACAACTATAATCTCTCTTTTCTTAATGATATCCTGTCATGAAAAATATTTGTGTTCTATGACGAGGTAATTTCACAGAACAATTTTTCTATTTCAATATCTAATCATATTTCTTACCAGAAATAAATGAAATCTTTTCACGAGCATTATCTATATCCATACAACTCCATGATGTTAACAACAGTAACAAATTTTTAATTGACAAAAAATGATCGTAAAGTAAACATTTTGGAATTGTACATTCAGAAAACTTTCTTGTTGCTCACATTCTTCGTCCATGTTATTCTCAGCATCCTTCAGTAGAACCAAATTCCTGCTGATTCATGTTTCCACTTCATCTCTTTGGAAATTGTCCAACATTAACTGTCATATAGATGGATTGATATTACGTTGCAGCCTAGTATTTTTTTCATTGTTTCTCACAAGATTTTCCTGTTTGTTAAAACTTGGTATAGCCTTTTTTCACCATTCCAATGTGTGTTTGGATTTCTGCTCCACATTTTCTATTGTCTGTTAAAACATTTCTCAGAATTTACACTTCTCAAAACTTAGCAAAAATAAATGAGATCTATTTTTGTTTTCCTTTTATATTACAAAAAATACAAACATTAGGCATATCCATAACGTTAAAAAATGAATCTTGACTCTGTTAATAATGAGAAGAATAAATGTTTAATTTGATAATATCATCATCAGAACTGTTTCGATTTAATGGCACACTGCAAACCAGTGTGATTTCTCATCTTCAGCAACTTTGAAAATATCCCTCCTCTTTAAAACTTTTTGATCTTTGTTAACTCATAAAAATACTGCATGTTTTCTAAGGGCTAAGTTATTCTTATAAAAGTTCATTGATAGTTCTTTTAATGTCTTTCTCCAAAGTGTATATAAGGGTTTGTAAATGATCTGTGAAAAGGGAATCAATAAAAATGATTGTAAAATAAACGTTTCTGAATTAGACATTCACCTTGGTATAAAAAGTTTCGCATAACAAGCTTTCAGGGTAATATGCGTGTGTGTGCAATGGTTTTACATAATTTTGACAGTGTTACCAATTCACTATCACAGTAGTAATGAATAATTGCATTATTTCAAACTATTTTTCTCATCTTGGTTGATATAAATATTATAGACAACATTTCAACCAAGTACCCTGTGGTCATCATCAGGTGTCCTTTGCTTAGCTGATATGTGATATCTGTTGATTATTGTGTCATTTTGTCCCTGTGATGTCCTTGTTATTGTTCAGTTCTGCTGAATTGATCTAGGGATTGAATTCACAATCACTAAATGACAGTAACTTGTATTTTATCAAAGATCATTATCTCAGCATTACACCATGATCGTATACAGCAGATTTTTTTTTTTTTAAATTCTCAACATTTTTTTAATGATTTATATTCCTATTTCTTTCCTTCTTTCTATGTCTTTTCTCCCCCTCTTTGAAACACACTTGTGCTATGCGTCCACATACCAAGAAAGCCTTCTTTTCATAGTATTATTATGGAAAGGTTGATCATTTGTTCACTAGATATATTTATGGACAGTTCAACAAATTGTTTTATTGATTGGATGAGTAAGTAAAGAATTACATTGGTTCATTGTTTAGTAAATTGATTGATTATTTCCTTAATAGGTTGGGAGGAGATAAAAATCAAATTGATATAGATATTGGCATATTGCTTGATGCCTTGCTAAGTAAGTAGGTTGATTTCTGGATAGTGAATTGGTAGACAAATGAGAAAATTGTATGATAGAATAGGAGATAAGTCGATTGAATGACGAGTCGATTAAGATGTGAAGGAAGCAATGTGATGAAACAGCTAAGTTTATTGAGAGGCAAAGATAGTAGATAAGTTAACAGGCGGATAAGTGCATTGATGGATTAATACAAGGGTTGTTTCAAAAGTAATGCCTGCTATTTTATCTTGCTGGCTAACCACGTTGATGGCATGGCTGTAGAAGGGGTTTTTGTTCCATAGATAGCTGTCTAGCAAAATGATTTCTGACATGAAAGTGCATATAAAGCGGAAGTGTCTTGTTGAATTCCTGCATATAGGAAAGAAACTGTGCTCATTGACATTCATTGCTGAACATTTATGGAAACCAAACTGTGGTCGTAAACACTGTTAGGCAATTAAATATTTGCCAAACATTTATAGAAACCAAACAGTGGATGTAAACAATTTTAGGCAGTTAATTAAATGCTTACTGAACATTTATGGAAACCCAACAGTAGTTGTAAGCACTGTTAGGCAGTTAATTAAATGCTTACTGAACATTTATGGAAACCCAACAGTAGTTGTAAGCACTGTTAGGCAGTTAATTAAAGGCTTACTGAACATTTATGGAAACCCAACAGTAGTTGTAAGCACTGTTAGGCAGTTAATTAAATGCTTACTGAACATTTATGGAAACCCAACAGTAGTTTAAGCACTGTTAGGCAGTTAATTAAAGGCTTACTGAACATTTATGGAAACCCAACAGTAGTTGTAAGCACTGTTAGGCAGTTAATTAAATGCTTACTGAACATTTATGGAAACCCAACAGTAGTTGTAAGCACTGTTAGGCAGTTAATTAAATGCTTACTGAACATTTATGGAAACCCAACAGTAGTTGTAAGCACTGTTAGGCAGTTAATTAAATGCTTACTGAACATTTATGGAAACCCAACAGTAGTTGTAAGCACTGTTAGGCAGTTAATTAAATGCTTACTGAACATTTATGGAAACCCAACAGTAGTTGTAAGCACTGTTAGGCAGTTAATTAAATGCTTATTGAACATTTATGGAAAACAAACAGTGGATATAAGCACAGTTAGGCAGTAGGCGATGCATTTCAGCAGGAGTGACAATGACAAGCTACATTCCAGGCAGTCTTCACTGTTGAAAATGCATAACCATTGGTGGGGAGGAATAGTGTTTTGTAGCTGAAAACTTGCTTTACCCAGAGGTGCTCCTTGTATCTGTGGTAGTTTCTGCTGAAATAAATAAGAGGCATTACTTTCAGAGCATCCCTTATAGATAGATAACCAATTTAAAGATGGAATAAGCAAAGAATTGTCTATGTATGCTTATAGAATTGACTGCTTAAAATAAATGAGCTAACCAGCCAATCATCAACCGGAAGATGGGGTTGAGGAGAGAGAGAGAGAGAGAGAGAGAGATTGACTGTTTGACTGTTTGACAGAAAAAGAAAGTTGCATCTCTCTCTCTCTCTCTGTCTCCCCCTGTGGTTTTTATTCAGTGTCAATCACACCTCCTCTTCTCCCCTACTTTTCCTATTACAATGTGTCTGCTGCACAGCTTACATCACTGTTGTCTGCTGCAGGGATGCAAGTGCGTTCTCTCACCACTCTTCCTCCCCACGCCTGTCATTGCTCTCCCCCCACCCACACACACCCTCACCCTCACCCCACTCTTCCTCTTCCGGCCTGTGCTTGCCACACACACACACACACACACACACACATTTCTGTATGTAAGAAGCAGCAGTGTGAAAGACATTGCTGCTGCTGCTGTGATGGTCTAATCTTAAATTACTAAGCACTAATGTAAGACACACAAGAAGATTGATAGATCATGACTCATCACACACACACACACACACACACACACACACACACACACTAAAACCTATCATAGCAGCAGCAGCAACAGGAGCAATTGATTATGGACACCTGGGATGGTAGGAGAGGAGGTGGCCAGGAAGAAAGGAAAAATTTTGCTGAGTTTCAGAAATAGCAGCAGGAGGTGTCTATCTTGGTTTTTCGTCTATCTGTCTGTCTGTCTGTCTATCACCATATTTATCTCTGAACTTTTATTAATCTCCTCCTGCCTGCTTTTTGATTGGCTGTTTTATCTGTCAGTGAATCAGTCCCTTGGCCTTTCTATCTAACGGTCAGTTTGACTGATTTTTTTGCTGTTGGTGAGTCAATTGAGCAGGTCAAGATTTTTATCAATTCATTAGGCTTTGATTTGTCTCAAATGAGTGTCCACATTTGGATTGCCACATTGACCATGTTTCGACCCTTGTACACTCTGGTTTCCTCAGGTATTTATTATACTTGGTAATGTCCTGGAATTTCAAACCCTTTATTCCATTTATAGTATTAGACTGTTCTCGTTTCACTGTCCTTGTTGGAGGATATTTTATATCAGCTAAATCCATCTAGTCAATTTACTTTTGATGTTGTTTGTCACTTCTCTTTCATTTTCTTTTTTTTTTTTTGGCACAACTTCATACAAGGATTGAATGTATTGTCATCATATCAGCCAAGAATTCGTCTGAAGAAATTGGTCTGTTATAATGAAAAAGTTCTAACTAAAAATAGTCTTCTCTATTGCAAAGAATTTTGACCTGTATGTAGTTGGATGGAGGTCATTGATGAAAAGGCCAATGTGACAACATAAAAAAATGGTCAAGGGCTTTGTTAATTAAATCAATGACTTGGATTCTTTAAACAGTTCGTCTGCCATAGATAATACCAATGACCTGACATTCTAGAAGGTTTAAATGCTGGATATTTAAAAAGAAAGCCTGGGATTGTTGGTCAGATATTAAAAAAAAAAAAAATTATATTTGTAAGAGATATATGTTTGTTTGATTTTTTTTTTTTTTTTTTCACATTTCACCTCTAAGCAAGGCAATAAAGCCACTAAAACACAAAGGGTTACTGAATGTAGCGTTGATTGATTGATATGTTGTGCTTTTTTACGGCTTATAAACCTTTTATAGGTTATTTAAAGCAAGAAAATGTTCTTACGGTGTAAGGATTTAGGGTGAATAATAATGATTTACTGACAGAAGTCCTGCTAATTAACCCATAGTTGTGGGGGTAGAAAAGGTGAATTTATACCTTTTAATTTTAATTGGAACTTTGATTTCCAATTCCTAGTGGTTATCCATTGCACCATCCACACATCCAAACTTACAGCATCTGGTATTCCCAAGTGGTCACTCATCTCGGTACTGACCAAGCTCAACATTGCTCAACTTCAGTGATCATATGAGAAAAAGTGTTTCGACATGATGTGACTGTAAGCCTTAAAATATTAAGGATCAATTTGACACCATATTTATAATATGAATAGAAATCCACTTCTAAAATGATTTTAAAAAAGTCAAAAAAATATTTTTCAATTCTCACAAAAATATATATACCTGTCCCCCAAAGTTTGTAAAAGTATTTCTGATATACCATATATATATATATATATATATATATATATATATATCGAGAGAGAGAGAGAGAGTGAGTGAGTGATATCAACCAAATATGAAGATTACATTGAGGCTTGAAATTGACAGTTCCAATGCCTACAATGTCTATAAATGCTCTATCTTTAATATTGAGCACTATTGCCCTATAAATATAGCTAATTTTAAACAAAAATAAAGATTTTAAATCAGAATAAATTGAAAAATGTTTCTTCATCAGTCAGTTAATTACACTGTACATGATACACAATTGGATGACCCTGTCTCTTTCGAGTCATGACTGAAGAAGATTTTCTTGCGGTAGGTTGCCATTTCTTTCTGTGATAGACTGGTTGCCAACCAAGGCTATAAAACCCAGTCTGTCCTGCTATTCGATCCATAGCTGGGAGGAGTAGATATGGACTCATACCTTTCCTAAGGTTTGCGTGAAAGTGAATATAATGAACCTGACTGGAATTTGAACTCTGATTTCTCACTCTGAGCCATTATACATTGCACTACAATGCACATATTTTCATACAGTATTTATAAGGAGATTTGCACACATTTTCTAACCTTGCTGCCAAAATAGTTATACTAGTTGCTACATAAAATTAAATTATCTTAGTTAATAAAAAACAACACTTGGCAGCAAGATTGAAGATGAGGACCCAGACTAAGCACAACCAACCACAAACACCCCAGTACTGGAAGAAGCAGATGACTATTAGAACAGATCTCATTGGTCAAACCGGCAGATGAAGAAGGCAATGCATGATGGACATGCTATAGAATGTGCTACTCAAAAATGATAACACAATCAGTGGCAGTCCATTGCAGTCTCATATAACTGTATTCTGCATGTCTCGTTCTATATGTGCCACAGAGGAAAGGTCATAAAATTGGGTGTGTGGGTCACTTCCTGGCAAATTGAGGTCCACCTTAAATAAATTCACGTCATTGGCACTTTCTTCTATTTGATTTTCTTTCACCTGCAACACCAACTCTTGCAAAGCCAAACGATGCTAGGGAATGGATGAGGGGAAGCAGGTTTTGGTGAAATTGAAAGCTTCTCACCCTGAACTGGCATGTTGGTGATTAATTTATCAATGCCATCATTATGAAGGAAGCAATCAGCAGAGAAGAAATTAAATTCTTCAATATGAGATAAAGCCAATGATAAAAAAAACAACGTGTCCTGGGTATGACGATAAACTACATCCACATCCTGGGTAAGACGATAAACTACATCCGTGTCCAGAGTATGACGATAAACTACATCCGCGTCCTGGGTAAGACAATAAACTACATCCGCGTCCTGGGTATGACGATAAACTACATCCGCGTCCTGGGTATGACGATAAACTACATCCGCGTCCTGGGTATGACGATAAACTACATCCGCGTCCTGGGTATGACGATAAACTACATCCGCGTCCTGGGTATGACGATAAACTACATCCGCGTCCTGGATAAGACGATAAACTACATCCGCACCCTGGATAAGACGATAAACTACATCCTTGGCCTGGGTATGATGATAAACTACATCTAACAGCAAGGCCTCTGATAATACATTTTTGAAAAAATAATGTTGCCAGCTGTATGTTTTTGAAAGAAAGAAAAAAAATATAATATTACCAGCTATACATTTTTAAAAAAATAATATTACCAGCTATATATTTTTTGAAAAGAATAATATTACCAGCTATACGTTTTTGAAAAAAATATTATCCGCTATACGTTTTTGAAAAAAGAAAAAAATATTAACAGAAATAGATTTTTGACAAAACAAAAATATTACCAGGAAAAAAAAAAAAATGTTGTCAGCATTAAATGACCCATTGTCGTTGATATACTGTAAAAGAAAAAAACAAAACAAAAAAAACAACAAACACATATTTGCTAAGAAACTGTTATATAACAACAAAAATCTGAACACTTTACACTAAACTGCATTCCTTAAAAGATGATTGTTGTTTTACTTTATCTGTCGTAAGGTGCAGTCATCCTTTTCATGTTTTGATTTTGTCTATTCTGCCGTAAGAATTACGTCTGTAAACCTAAAAAATTAATAATATTGAACTTTTGGTTCAGGAAATAAAATTACCATATATTAAACTTTTCTTTTTCATTTTTTTATCAAAATTTCAGGTGTATGTTAAGGATCAGAATGTTTTTATGTGTTCCTTCAATGATTGTGGTGGTGATAGCAACTGTTCGGGTCCCAGTTATGGGCAAAGAGTGAACCCCCTAAACAAAACCATCAAATACCAGCAATACATTTTGATATTAAAAAAATTACTGGAAATACCTATTTATAGTAAAATTACCAACATTCTATCTGGTGTTGAAGGTCTACAATTGCTTACAAAATATATTTAGTTGAAGCCATAAAATTGTGTTCAAAATATTTAAATTTCTGTATTAAATAACCCATAGAGTTTAATGCCACTAAACAGAATCAACCAACCAATCAATGTTTTTGATGTTTGTGTGTGTATGTATATATATATATATATATATATATATATATATATTACAGAATGTTATTTTTTATTATAATAATATATTTTAATAAATAATTAAAAATAAATAGAGCAAGGAGTCAGTCATGCTGCATATATCCTTCTAGACACGTACATACACACATTAATTGCCAATAATGAGAGCATATTTTTTTGTTAAGTTCTAAGACTATGTTTTCATATAAGGCTTTAAATGTCTCTTTCTCTGTCTTTTGAACAGGATTAGAGGTTTATCCCTTCTCTTAAAGTTTTCTCATTTTCTTTCACATCTAACAACCAATTGCATTATGACCTTGCTTGGGGTAAATGATTATATATATATATATATATATATATATATATATATATTATGAAATGGAGAGAGTCCGACAATTATTTTAAGATATTTTTATGTTTATACATTCTTTTTATAGATACAAATATTTAAGTAAATTCTCTGTTTATAATAAACAGTATTAATAACATATACCTGCCTGAATGTTCGAGAAATTTTCATAGAAAATATTTGTCCTCCGACAGGAATCAAACCTGTATCCTATATGCAACCGTCAGTTAGCCTGACATTCCTTAACCGATTCAGCCACAGAGGATGGTTTGGTTAGCAAGGTCGATTATTTATTTTAGGATATTACATTGAAAACATGTCAAAATCGCTACACAGTTGCAGTTGTGTTTCAATGCATATCAATGCATCTCATCAGGCAATTGTAAATTACTGGTAATGAATGATTTATTTAGAATCTAAATAAATAGTTCACCCGCCAGTAATTTACAATTGCCTGATGAGATGCATTGATATGCATCAAAACACAGCTGCAATTGTGCAGAGATTTTTACATTTTTGGTTAAATAACACACACACACACACACACACACCTCACTTCGTTAACTTTGCGTATACTTGATGAGGTCCGTAAAAAACGTGTGAATTTCTTTTCCTTTTTCATTTCAGCTTTTGGAAGTAAAGTCTGATGATCCAGAACCCTGTTAAAGGGGTTATGGTGAAATAGCTTATTACATGGAATCTTAACGTGGTCTGTCTTTTATTCAAGCAAATATATATATATATATATATATATATAATGTTTTTTAAGATTAAAAAATTACTTATTGTGAATTAATATCTGTATTTGAATTAGTTTTAATTCTTCACCTTTGGTTCATGTCCACTTTTCAAGGAATTTTTCTACAAATGTTTTTTATATAAATATCTATTTTTTTATATTATATTTTCATTTTTTTTTACTCTCTTAGTGACATGCGCATGCCTATGCTCATTCACGTGTCCATCAATCCGTTCAAGAGTATATTTCCAATGTGCAACAGATGCGCGTATGTTTAAATTTTTTTTTAATTATTTACACTCTATTATATTCTAGATATTGAGCACTTTTAAAAAATTCCGTTTTTTTTTTTTTTTTTTTTTTTGTTTTGTTTTGTTTTTTGTTTTTTTTTAATTTAATTTAATTCTTATATATAAGGTATGCTATATTTTGGGGGTAAAAATGTCCAATATCAGGTATAGTGTGTATAAGTATAAGAGTGGGCACTGAGGTCAGCACTAGTCTGTTTTATGTTTGAATGCAATCCTTTATGACCTGAGCATTGCATTCAAGCATGAAACAGATTGTTGTCACTTGGTGTTGTCGTCAGTGTCCATTTATATATTTTTAATGATTGTTTTACTTGGCTCTTTCATGGAAACATTTTTTTCCACTTCCCAATTTTGTAAGCACCTTCAGTTTGCCATTGTCATATCAAAGACACTGCTACATAGTGTCCCCCATTGTAAGGATATAGTCATCGTTATCTTCCTTCCACTACTGTTATTGAATGCTACAAACATTGCAAACAAAAAATTTACAAATAAACTTGGCATAGAAAAAAATCTGTATATTTTTGTTCAGCTTAAAAAAATCTTATTCAATAAAACTGTCCTTGGAAGCCATTTTTTTATGCAGACCTGGTGTTTCTTTGTTGTGCATCACAATTAATCAATGTGTGGGTGTCACTGATTGGTCTCCCTCTTAACAAAGCCCAAGAGATACACTTTTTTTCTTTCTTTGTTTTTTTTGTCTTTAATCATTTCACCCCAAGCAAGGCAATTAAGCCACTAAGATGCAAGGGCCTACTAGGAGGAAAAGAGACTGCAATGTCTTTAAAAGTAACCAGAAACCTAATCCTAAACAGAGATAAACCTCTACAGGAGAGGGTGTGAACTGGGTGATAGGCAAACCTATCTTCTACTGTTGAGGAGAAAAAAATAAATATTTAGTAAATAAAATTTCAGAGTTCAGGCAGAAGTATAGAGTTGG